CTGAACCAACTTTTTTATTGTTTCCCCATTTATGATAAAGGGCACTATTGGGACAATGGGTTAAAAATGAATGGAGTCTATAAATAAAATGCTACTATTGTGTCAATACCAAATTTTTGATTTCTATGATTAAAGTATGGTTACCTAGAAAAGTATTCTTCCCTTTAGGAAACGCACACTTAAGTATTATGAGACAAGGGAATATATAGCCTTTGCGTTTTATTTTCAAATTACTTAGGGAAACACAATGTATACATACGAAAATAAAAATACAATAAAATGTATTTTTAAAATTAGGAAGACTAAGTTAAAGTGTACAGGGACAATGTCAGGAAAAGAACTGCATTTAATCTATAGACAAAGGGAGTCACTGAATGTTTCCTAGGCAATATTGACACAATTAAGGCAGCAAAAAACAGTCTAGAGTTAAAAGCCAAACAAAAGTTCAACTAACCAGTGGAAAGGAGGGACTTCGAGGCAGCTTCCCTGATTCCAGCTGATACATGCGGAGATAGACTTCAACCTGAGGTGTGGCTTCATTGACAAAGCGAACGACATTCAGGGCATGAAGGACATCAGTGTACTGCTCCTTACGGTACAGCATCACCTGGGCATGGGACTCATGATGTGGAGGTAGGATCCCTATGTAGAGGCCATGGGAAAAAAAGCAAAATACTGAAGTAGCAATCTAAAACCCCCTTTATTCAAGAGAATTAGGTGAGAAGCTGCTCTTCACAATTAAAGTGGAACTCACACAAATATCTAATTATGCAGATTCTATTAAAACTTCTCACATAAGCAATCTTAAACGTTAATTTAATCAATACCTGAATGGAAACTGCATCGTTAATCACCTCCATGAAACTAACTGTACCCATACTATACCTGCTTCCTTCACCCTCCCCTCTGTTCCCTCTGTTGACCATTATATTCCTTCTTCTGAGATTAAGAAATATCCTTACTATTCTTTGCATGTGAATGTTTCACAAATGAGTGAAACCAACCAACCTGTCACTTTGTGACTTATTTCACTCAACATAATCACCTCAAGCTCCATCCTTCATTTTGTCCCAAATGACAACATTTCACTTTTCTTCACAACTATGTAGTAGCCTACTATGTACATATAATTCCCCTCTTTTAAAATACTTTATATTTTTTCGTTTGTGTTTAATTAATTTTTTTTTTAAAGATTTACTTATTTGTGCATACAGAACTGGGGTACAGGCCAGAGGCTCAGGGGCGGCGAGAGGCTTCACCAGAGACAGAGTGGGGAACAGAACAGGCAGATCAACGAAGTACACTGCTGAGGGGAGCAGCGGGCTGGTCAAGAGAGGTCTGCCATGCCATGTGGTCACCTCCGGGGCAAGCGGGAATCAAACTCATGCGGAAGAGGCTTTAGATTCTCAGTGATGTGCTTTAACCTGCTGCGCCACCAGGGAGGGCCCTAATTAATTTTTTTAATGAAGTACCATTGTCTTACATCCTTGTTCATTTTCTAACAAGGATTTCTACTCTCATGTATATCTCTCCCATGACCAAAGCACCACAGGTGTAAAAAAAAAAAAAAAAATTATAAAGAAAATGTTAAAAGTTAAGCTACTCTTGAAATACAAGGTTAAATTTATATCATTAAAATACAAGTTTTAACTATATTACAAAACAAAATTTAATTTAAAAAGTTTAAATAAGTGTAACACATAAATTCAAGATAACAACATCAACTATGATTTACTTCAAATTAAGTTTGTCAGCCTAGGAATATGGGATGGACAAGCATTTCACTAAACATTTTCTACAGAATGCATGTCTCAAAGTTTATCATGAGAAAAATGTCAAACACACTTGGGAAATGGTGACAATGAGTTCTGATGGCTCTTTTTGTGATAAAGAAAAACATCTTATTTACTCCAGCCTCATTAGAATTAACAAGACTCTATAGCAGTCCAGACTCTGAAGAAAAAGTTACTTGGTTTGAGTTAACTGGCTAAGTGGCTTTCAGAATTGATCTCCCCATGCTTTTTCATCTGAAAAATGGGAATAAAAATATTCATCCATAGAGCTGTTGTGATGAATAAAAATTATACACACACACACACACACACACACACAAAGCACTTACAAGCATATCAAGCAAGCACATTTAACTATGGGAATGGCTTTTCAGTGAAAACCACTACAAATCCAGTATTCTAAAGAACATTCTGGGAAATAAAAGTTGGATGAGTTCAGACTCCACTAATATGACACCATGTTAACATAAGAAACAAAGATGCTTAAATGTTCTTTCTTCTGACATCAATTGTTACTTTCCTAAGTTTTAGGGTTCTGTGCCAGGCTTTGAGAAAAATCAAGGGAATACATGCTAGAATCCTTCAAATCTGAACTGATAGATTAAATAGATACAGTTCAATGCTCATACTATTAAAGCCAGCACACTGGTTCCCATGTTAATTCTCAAACTTGTTTTCTGAGACTTAGTCCAACAAGTCTCTTTCTGGTATTTACCTAAAGGGCACGTCAAGGTCCGCAGGTAATCAACAGCCTGTGCTAGGAAGTCATCCTGTCTCCTACATAACGCAGCAGTTCTAAATCTCCACAAAGCCAACAAAGATTAACTTGATACAGCCTTTACCACAAGCCAACAAAGATTAACTTGATACAGGCAGAAATGACAGAGGTAATGAGTATGCCAGATAGGCATCAGGAAGGGCCACATTGTACAGGTGTGTATCTCCCACTGATTCACTGAAACTTAGTAAAACACGTAGTATTGCCTAGTAGAAATAAATATCATCGCTATTCCCACCTAAAATGTCTCTCTGGAAGGCATTTATTTTGATGGCCACTGTAAACACTAATATGTAAATGCAGAGGAGGCTCTCCTGGTGGTGCAATGGGTTAAAGCACTGCATTATGAAGCATGAAGCTCTCCAAAGTCACTGCAGCAGAGTTTGACACTCCCCCCCCCCCCCAAGGAGCTACATGGACTCTCCTGACCAGCCCCCTGCTCCCCTCAGCAGTGTACTTTGTTAATCTGCCTGTTTTGCTCCCCACTCCATCTCTGGTGAATCCTCTCACCCATCACACCTCTGGCCTGTACCCCAGGTCTGTAAGCATGAGTAAATAAGTAAATCTTTTTAAAAAATGCATAGAGGAGACCCTAAATTAGTTGTTTCCCAACCTTTAGATTGCAACTGCTCAGTGACCTAGATATGAGACATACCATGAAAGGTCACTATGCAGAACTGCCTAGAGCAGCTGGTATTCCCTTGCTACCACAAATTATGTAGTCACAGTAGTACTGTAACTGTTTCAAGTTCCTCAAAAAAACAATAGATTACTGGGGAAACAACAACCAAAAAAGGAGGTCTACAACCTTTCTGGGATCTCTACAATCCTAAACTCAAATTCAAGCTCTGCCACTTACAGGCTATAAAGCTTTCAGCATGTTAATTAGTCTCATAGTCTCCATCTGCAAAATTGGGAGATTGACACATACCTTGCATAGGCAGTCCAGGCTTACTCGAATATTTATAGAAACAAAGAAAAGGAATGGTAATGGTTGGTTTAGGTATCAACTGGCTCAACAAGGATTAAAAAAAAAAAAAAATCCTCAGCTCTAAAGAGATGTTGCCAGTCACTTGTGGTACCTACTACACTTTTTCAAACTGAGCAAAAGGTTTTTCCCTTCTTCAGCCACTCTTAACTGGAATTCATTCATTTGTGCTCCTAAGAAATAAAAATTCTTCAATTTCTTTTTGATTAGTAAGGAACTTATACCTCTACAGTTCCAAATCACAGAGTCTAACAAAATAAAGGCTAAAATCCAGCAGTTATTTAACTCAAAGCCTCATTTCACAGGTGCAAAAAATATGAGGCCCTATGGGTCTTCCCTGAGGTTACTTGGCTGACAGCAAAACCTAGACTAGTTCTTTCTTCCAATTCAGTGCGCTTCCCACACCTTGTCTTAGGATCAACCATTACTTTCTCTTCTTTCTTTTAAAGTGATATTACCACTGAGTCACGTTCTAAAAGGTGCAGTAATTCAATCTCCTGAAGTTAGACATGATATCTACTAAAGATCCTAAGGAAATCCATCTTGTTCTGACTTATAAGATGACAAATGATCCCATCATTCAACATTTTGAAGATAAATCGTCCACCTCCCAGTGTCATACCTAGAAGCACCTTCCATATCAATGCACGGTACATGGACGGGAGAGGGAACCTCTGACTAAAAGTACAGAGTTTCTCAATATCTAAAGGAAGAAAAAAACAGAAATTTTCATGCTGATCACAAAATTTAAAAATGCATTCTTTTTTCTTTTTAATTTAAAATATAACAAGACATTTCTTCAAAGGAAGTCTCTGAAAACCAGAAAAGGCAACAAAAGTCAGATTTCTAGTCAGTTGTTTTACCAATTCACTAACAATTTGTATTTTTCAGCATAGGAGCTACTTTTGCAAATATTATTACTCTATAACATTAGCAGTAGTTTTAATAGACTTTACCACATTTACTCCACAAAGCAAGCTCCTTGGGCAAATATTGTTTTAAAGACACTGATGCTAAAACTCAAAGCAGTCAAACCCTCAACTTTCCCAGTAACGCACACTCAACCATACCGGTCTTCAAGTCTCTACTTGGCAAATAAGAAAATTGCCAGATATGACAAAATATAGCCTGTGTAACACAGACCAAAGATCAAGTGGGAAACGTTTTGGAAACTTTAAAAGTATCTTATGAATATAAGCAGTATTTTTAACTGTGATTCACCTTATTTTAATTTAGTGTGCAACAGCACAGATATTATTAGTACTTACTCAAAAGACACTAAAATTATGTGAATACATTATGCAATCTCAGTATTTCTATAAAACAAAATCACGGTAAGAGCTGCTACAAATTCACCAGAGGGGTTACCCATAAGTAAGTATATTGACCTAACAGAGAAACATTACTGATTTCTAAAAGGCCCTTCAAAACCATTGGTTTCTGTCTCAATTAAATATGAACTCAAATATATTCTCGAGATATACTGTTGCCATGCACCACTAAAAAATACAGCAGGTAACAACAAATTTGAATGTCTGTTAGGGTAACACTGATTTCAGAACACCTACGACATCTAGATGAGAACCAATAAGCTCAATTTAACTTATAAAACTCACCCAGAGGGTCATCTTTTAGGAGGATTTCTAATGATTTCTTTTCTTCAACTCCACGAAACCCCACTTTCTCATAATATACTGAACGAAAGTTTCTCTGAGAATCCTCAGTCATGTTGCATTCTTATAGGAAAGTAAGAAGGGAGAGAGTCTAGGAACAAAAATTGAAGAATTGCATTTTTTTCTCCAACTTTTCCATTGATCTGACATATTATAAACTGGCTGCTCCTGCATAAAATTCAGTATTAAATTCCTTTTATTCAAATCTAACCCCAGCTTACCTAAGCACAGTGGTTAGAAAAGAAGATATAAAAATCCTCTGAGCTTCTAAAACAGATGTCACAAAGTTCATACAGTATGACTGCTACCTTACTTATGAGAACACCAGCCCATTATACCTGTAAATAGAAAAAATATATATACATAGTGAAACAGAAGTATGGACAAAATGTCATGCAAAGGTGGTTACCAAACAGTGTATACCATGACTTTCTTTCCAGATAATATGAAAAATTACTCTGAAATGTTAGCAATGGTTTTCTTTCTATAGGATCCCAGGTGATTTTAATTCCCTGCCTCTTGCCTGTCTTTGTTTCTAACATGGGCAATTTACAAAACACAAAATTGGCATAAAAAATAAAGCCACAAGGTCCTCATTGTCTTTTAAAAAAAAAAAAAACATAACCCTCTCAGCTGCAATTATCAAAACTAAAAACCCACAATAGATAAACAACACTACAACACAAACCAAAAGAGGAGGTGGTTGACCAGGGGTACCAGAGATGGGAAAAACAATGACGATCAATGGTCTCCTTCATAATAGTGACAAGTCATTAGAAAAAGGTCATGCTGAGATGGTATTTTAAGAATAGAAAGAATGTAATGCAATTTCTAGAAACTACTGCACTGTGTGACCCAAATGTTTAAAGGGTCGTGCAAAAACAGATTTTACAAATCCTGAAATGTTCCTGGAACAGGAAAGGTTGAGTTCCTGACAGTCTAGGTCCTTTCTTATTGAAAAGGCAGAAGTTGAGTCAATTCAGTCCCAGGAAAGGAAAAGATTCCTTTCCAATGAGAGATCCCTAAAGTTCCGCGCAATTCGTACCAAGTGGTTTTTAAAAACAAAATCCGAAAGCATTATGGACGACTGAATTAGGGTTATTTAAAAAGCAGCATCTGATACGTGCCAGCAGTCTAAGAACAACTTTCCCAGATTGCACTACAACGCAAACGCATTCTCTCTGGGGAACCAAAAACCGAGAGCCACCGCACGTGACATTCCCGCCAGGAAGGCAGACAAGCCGGGTCCCACGACCCGGGCCCCACTCTCCCTGTGACGCTTCACCTCTAGAAGTGGAACCAACACTAGGTTGAGACTAAGAGGTCGGGGAACGCAGCAGAAAAGCCCGACGCGCGGCAGGCTGGGGCGCAGCCGGTCGCCCCAGGGTCTCAGGGCAGGGGCCCAGCGACGGTAAGGCGGGAGCAGAGGCCGGAGAAGACGGCGGGACACCTGGCTTGCGGCAAAGCGCGCCCTGCCCGGGACACTGGAGCCCAGCGCCGCCGCCGAGGCCGCTGGTGGCGGACGTGACGTCATCTCCAAACGTGCTCGCGCCGCCCAGAGCGTGCTCGCGCCGCCCAGAGCGTGCTCGCGCCGCCCAGAGCGTGCTCGCGCCGCCCAGAGCGAGCTCGCGCCGCCCAGAGCGAGCTCGCGCCGCCCAGAGCGAGCTCGCGCCGCCCAGAGCGAGCTCGCGCCGCCCAGGAACTGTGCTTGGAGCGCAATGGAAAGGACTTCCACTTGGTTTTTGATTTTGTCCTTTTTCTCCCAGGTATGTTGAAACATAGGAAGAGCAGCCAAATGAGAAAAGCACCCTCCAAGGGAGCCAGCGTTGAATTTGGCAGGCAAAGAAGTGGGGAATATTGATAGTGGGAAATAGGGGTAGTTTTCAGGTAAGCCTACATTGGAAGGTGTTCGCATAGGAAACTGTAGGAAGGCTGTACCCTGTGTGATCCCTAAAGTCATTGATTACGCTTTCAGTGATTGAAAAGGGGCCACTGATTAGGTTCTCTCATGTTGCGTTGGGGATGGAAGGAGAGACTAATATTAGGGAAGCTAACATGACATCTGGAGCCAATTGTTAACAATAACTGTTTTTTACTCCCTGGGTTGTTATTAAAACTAGCAAGCTGGCTGGCTTACTAGAGATTCCTGGGGCAAGCTAGGGTTAAGTAGACAGCTTCAGCTTTGGGAGAATTAAAGAGGCTGCTGAGATAAGGACAGTGAATTCTAAGAGGAACTAAGCAAACATATGCCAGAGATGAGGTCAGAAATTCATGAAGTCTAATGAGGACAGTCAATTTTAAGGCTAAATTTTAAGCTAATGAGGATAGTTAAAGACCTTGAACAGGAAAGGTAAAGGAGAAACTCTAAGATAAGAGCTAGGAAAATGGGCACATCTGCCTGGAGAAATGTAAACAGAACATTTGGAATCTTCTATAAAAGGTAAGTCTCTTGGAGACTATTCTTAATATTGTAGCCAGAGTAGTCCTTTAAAAATCCGCCTCCTCAGTTTCTCAAACAGCTAAAATGGGAGCTTCATATGACCCAGCAATACCACTCCTAGATCTACCCAAAAGACACAAAAACACTAATTCAAAAAGACAACTGCACCTCCATGTTTATTGCTGCTTTATTTACAATTGGAAAGACATGGAAACAACCCAAATGCCCAAAAGTAGATGACTGTATTAAAAAGATGTGGTTCATATTAAAAAGATGTGGTTCATATATACACAGTGGAATATTACTCAGCAATATTACTCAGCAAAAAATAAATAAGTAAACACATGCCCTTTGCAGCAACATGGATGGATGTGGAAAAGATCATGCTTAGTGAAATAAGCCAGAAAGAAAAGGAAAAATACCGGATGGTTTCACTCATAGCAGAAGTATAAAGGACCAGAGGAGAAAATAATAATAATAATGAACAGATATATACCAGAGACATTTTATGGGGGTGGAGTGGGAAATGGTATCAAAAATGGTGGGGGGAGGGAAGTACACTGGACTATGGTGATAACACATGGTTTATTTGGGGGTGGAAGCCCGTGGGGATTACAACTGAGATGGAAAAGGGCACAAGATGCTGTAAAAATAAACTACTATATTATTTTAAAAAAACGTGCCTCCTCTGCCAGAATCATGCACTGGTTCCCCATTTCACTCAAAGTAAAAACCAGAATATTCAGAATGACCTGTAAGACTTGCCATCTGGTTTATCTTACTACAACTTCACATATTTATTGAAAGAGGCTTCTGCCTTAGAACCTTCTCATTTTTGTTGCTCCTCTTTGAAACCCTGCTTCCCCCAGAGAGTCACATTCCCTATTTCTTCACCTCAGCTTTGCAAATATTCCTTCCTAAGGCCCACTTTAACCACCCTCCCTAAAATTACAACCCTGTTACCAGAACCCCAACCCCCCATACTCATTTTCCTTTATTGCACAGTACTTATCAGTTAAAATGGTGCAAACCTTACTTTTTATTTTTATCTTTATTGAGCCTAACTTCCCAACAGAATATCAGTTCCATAAGTTTAGGGAACTTTGCTTTATTAACTGTAACTGCAGTCCAAGTTCATGGACCTGCCCCTGGCACAGTAGTTACCCCAGATTTCTGAAGAATGCCTAGGGGTCCCACACATTGGGAAAGGGCAGCCTGTCTCTTGTCATATACTCTACAAGTAGGGTGTCGAGGACATTATTAGTTGAACTGTAGCAGAGTGGCCCCCAGGAAAATGGGAAGTTTGGGGTTCCCTGTCCCACCCAGAAGGAGGGTGGAGCTAAGCAGAGAAAAGAAGAGAAGAGAGGGAATCTGAGGAGGAAGGCAGCAGGATGGAAAGCCAGGAGACCTGAGGAAACCACATGGAGAATAGGGAGACATATGAAGAAACTGTTTTTATCTCTTGGCCCTGGACTGGTTGAAAGAGATGTAGGTGAGAGACCGGTGGGGAGCTTGACTATGGCAGTGTTTATATTGATTTTGATTTTGCTCTTTTCCTCCCAGACTTGTATGGTCAGTTCTGATCCTTTTCTATGGGTCCTGGCCAAAAGGTGCTTTAGTCTTATGGCAGCTTTCAGGCCTTGCTTTGGACCAATTCCTTTTGGGCAGACTTTTGACCATGAGGGAATGGGTAACTTCAGGTGTTTGATTTAGAAATTATATTCTTTGTCTTCCATATTTTGTACTCACTGTATAAAGTTCCTTTTCATTAAAGACTTCTATGTTTTGTCTTAATGCAGCAAATGACAGAACCTATTTAGAGACAGGTTTGGGGGTTCAGTAGTGCCCCTCTCCCTGCCCTGTAACAGAACTTCTTCTAGCACAGAACAGAATTTACATGAAGTAGGCATGAAAGGGAAATATCAATAAACAAATGAATGTAGTAAAAGTCCCATTATATAAAAACTCCAACCCAGATGCAATAGGTAAATTTGTTTTTCCATATCACATGGAAATTCTCCTTTTGTCATATGGATTTATGGTTGGTTGTAATCTAACAAGACTGCATGCCAAGAGGAGGGAGCCAGATGGCAGGACTTTCCAGCCCCTTTAGCCCCTTTACCCTTCCATTGTGAAACAACCTGTTTGCTCACCTTCCACCTAAATGACCTTGCATACTCAAATTATGATCTACCCATATAACCTATGTTAAGCTAACAGAGTATTAAAAAGAAACTTTTGTGTATGTTCAAAGCCAGATATTTCCAGGAGAGAACTCTCCTACCTGGTGTCCATCAGTGTGATAATAATAAAACCTGTATCCACTTTTCATTGGTGTGCAATTTCGGCCTTTCTAGCATGGAAAATGTTGTTCCATAGCAGGCATGTAATAATATTTTTCATGGATTTTAATTGAAACTAGAACTTTAAAAGTCACTTCATTCAAAGGTATATATCTTGCTACCCTTTGGTAAGGGACCTCAATCCTTAAAGCCTAATAACCTGAATACCCTCTGGCAGTTAATTTCTGACTAAAGTATGATAATTATACTGCTATTAAAGAACATATGCCTCTGCCATGACAGGCTTCAGGTCCAGACCAGACCTAAGGTTTCCTGAAGTCTTGGAGAGGCAGCATCCCTCCAGCCCATGGACCACTTGGCCATGACTAATCAAGTGATCACCCCAGCCAATACAGGTACTGTAACCCACTGTAAGGTGATCTTCCCCAACCAATCTGAGTACTGTGAGTTAGCATAATGAGACCTCATCACCTTAGCCAATCCAAGTACTGTAGCCCACCATAAGGTGATCCCCTCAACCAATCTGAGTATTGTAAATCAGCATAATGGAAACTTTAAAAACCATGTGTAACAGACACTTGGGGCTCTAGATTACCACCGCTGTGTCAGAGGAGTCTAGAGTCCTGGCTCGAGTTTGCGAATAAAAACTCTCAAGCCTTTGCATCGGATCATCTCTCTGATGTCTTGTGGGATTTAAAATCTGGGCACAACATTTGGGAGCTCGTCCGGGATCCCTCAATACTTCAGAATGCTTGATTTGGAGGGTTTTCTTTTTCCTTCTTCTGTTTCTTGGTAAGTGTGTTCCCCTCTCATTACAGTACCATTTTTCTGCATTGTGGGTTGGCAGGAGGCTTAGGCAGATGTTCTGGTAGGCCACCGACCAGGGGTCGCGGAAGACTTTCTGGACCCTCCAGAAGTATATTTCCTTACTAATTACTGTCGATAAATGTCATAGTGGTGCCTTACTTTCATCTTTTGGGGAACTCTGGAGAAGATTGTTGCCCTTTGCTTCTGTCTGTCTGTGTCAGTGAGTGTCTATCTTTCTTTGTCTGGTGTTGGTCGGCCCAATAGAATTGACATCAGACAGACAATGATGACTCCTCTGACTATTTTGACCGAAAATTTCAAGAATGTTAAACATAGAGTGCACAACTTACGCATAGATATCAAAAAGGCTAAATTGACCACTCTTTGCTCCAAAGAGTGGCTGTGCTTTTCACTTGGATGGCCTCCGGAGGGAAATTTTTATTTAACCACCATTAATTCCATTAAAAAAGTTGTTTTCTGGACTTCCAGAAGATGGCAGCAGAGTAAAGACGCCGAGATGACTACATCCAAATTCACATGGGATTATATACAAACAGATTATAGACTTACATCCCAAATGAGTTTCATCCCAAATGAGAATTCCCTGGACTCACTAGAAGGAAGATAACTGAGGGAGAATTGGCAATTGGGGAGTTCCCATAAGGGAAGCCGCACAGCCAGGAATAGCTGAACCCTGCAACTGTGATCGGGAAACACCAGTGGTTTCCTACTCGTTCGGTTTCTGGCACCTGGACACCAGTAAGCACTGCAGAGGGAGACGGACTGTGGCTGCAGCTGCGGCTGCGGCTGCTCTGCACAGCTACAGCAGCTTTTTGCTCCAGCCCTGCTAAAGCACTGGAGATAAACTGAGACAACACAGCTAGGGAGAGGAAACCAAATTGTGGCTGTACCTCGGAACCAGAGACCCGAAGATATGCCATCCTTTCCCCAGCAGCCGCAGAGGTGTTGCCGTCCTTTGCCACAGCAGCCCCAACAAAGCCCTGGATAAGCTGAGACAACACAGCTAGGTGAGTGGATCCCAAGCTGCTCTACTTAGAGCCCGGGAGATAGAGAAGAGGAACTGGCAAGTGGGGCCGCTCTAGCCCTACCCGCATCTCCTGCCCCCACAACAGAGATCTGAGACTAGGCAACATTGGGGTTTGGTTAGGTCTTGGCACCATTCTTAAGGCATCATCAACAAGACTCACAAAGCCACTGAGTTAAAGAGGGGGAAAATAACAGACACGAGCCAACCACAGGCCCAGCCCTAGGACAATGCAACAATTTTAACAACATTGCATGGGCACATTTAACATAGAGAGGTCCTAGGAAGTGCCTCAAACAGGGAGACTACTACTGCTTACCACATCTACCCACAAAAACTGTGGTAAAACCCTGGAGTTAAAGAGATACAGCTGGGCTCTGTGAGAAGACCTCAGGCAGTGGGGAGGCACTGCTCAGGGAGGGACTATTTGGACTAAACAAAAAGAGCCCTGAAAACTCAGAGGCAGGACTGGTAGCCTGCTAAGCTGGCACTCCCTGCACTTCTATTGGGGAGGGGGAGATCCAACCCCCACAACAGAGGCCCAAAGACTTGTGAGCCAGAAAGGCACACAGTACTTAGAGTGTATACAAAGCCAGCCACCAACCCAGCCAAAGGCCCAGCTCCCAGGGAGACCTACAACACTTCTAATTCATCATAACCACCATGGGCACACCAAGCATAGAGGGAACCTGGGATATCCAAAGGCTACAAAGATCAACAGACACCTTCCAGAAACAGAGAATTAATGTGTTACTAGAAGAGGCTGAACAACACAAGAGATCCTTGACTGTTACCAGCTGAGGCAACAGACACAATTACACACAGTGGGGGCTGGGAAAAACAACACAACTCAGAATACCCTCCACAACTGAAGTGTCTGGAAGTTCCTCAGCTATTCCAGAAAGAACATCCAAAAAAAAAAAAAATGCCAGTCAATAATAACAACACATGTCTCAGCGAATAGAAAGTATTAGAAAATACACAACAGGGAAAAGAAGACAAACAAATATTCAAGCATTCAAGCAAGTCCCCAAGGGGGAAATTCACCACAAAAAGATCAATAAGCAGAAACCACCAAAGAAATTGAAGAACTGCTCAACCTACCAGATAAAGAATTCAGAATCATCATGATAAACAAACAAAATGAAATGAAATGAGGCAAGCCACCCAGGAGTTGAAGAATGCAAACAAGGAAATGAACAAAAGAAATGAGAAAAATATGAGACAAGCAATCAGAGAACTGAAGAAAGAGAATGAGACATTAAAAAAGGAAATTGAAGAAATGCAGGTGATGAAAAGGCCACTAGAAGCACCAGCGGCCAAAATGAAGTTCAATCCCTTTGTGACTTCTGATCGGAGCAAGAATCGTAAAAGGCATTTCAATGCACCTTCCCACATTTGTAGGAAGATCATGTCCTCCCCTCTTTCCAAAGAGCTGAGGCAGAAGTACAATGTCCGGTCCATGCCCATCCGGAAGGATAATGAAGTTCAGGTTGTTCGGGGACACTATAAAGGACAGCAAATTGGCAAAGTAGTCCAGGTTTACGGGAAGAAGTACATCATCTACATTGAACGAGTGCAGCGGGAGAAGGCCAATGGCACAACTGTTAATGTGGGCATTCACCCCAGCAAGGTGGTTATCACTAGACTAAAGCTGGACAAAGACCGCAAAAAGATCCTAGAACGCAAAGCCAAATCTCGCCAAGTAGGAAAGGAAAAGGGCAAATACAAGGAAGAAACAATTGAGAAGATGCAGGAATAAAGTAGTTTATGTACAACTTTCATTAAAATTTACAGCTAAAATAAAAAAAAAAGCGCCTAGACAGCCAGATCTTCCCCGTGGACCAGGTCCAGCCTCCTTTGAAGCATGAGTTCCCAGCAGAAGCAGCCTTGTACCCCACTGCCCCAAATTCAGCAGCAGCAGGTGAAACAGTCCTGCCAGCCTCCACCCCAGGAGCCATGTGCCCCCAAAACCAAGGAACCATGCCACCCCAAGGCTCGAGAGCCCTGCCACCCCAAGACACCAGAGCCCTGCCACCCCAAGGCTACAGAGCCCTGCCACCCCAAGGCACCTGAGCCCTGCCACCCCAAGGCACCTGAGCCCTGCCACCCCAAGGCACCTGAGCCCTGCCACCCCAAGGTTCCTGAGCCCTGCCCCTCGACCGTCACTCCAGTGCCTGCTCAGCAGAAGACCAAGCAGAAGTAATGTGCTCCACAGCTGCACCTTGTGGGGAGAGACCCCTGGGGTTGACCGCCGTTCCCATCCTGCTATGAGTCCCACTTGCTGTCAGCACAGTCAGCCCGAGTCCTGGCCCCACCTTCTTTGTACCCTTTGTACAGTCTCTCTGGAGGCCCCTGAGCCCCTGAATAAGGCTGACGTTCTCACTTGCTCAGCTGCTTTTCTAGCTGCTCAGAGCTTGTCTGAAGAGTGTCGTGGGGGGTGAGGAGTGGGTCAAGTGAATCATCTCTGTCCTGTCCCATTAAATCACTTTTAACTCAAAAAAAAATATTATTATTATTTTTTTTTACTAGTGCAGTACTCTTTAATGTGTAATACTCAAGGGCAAGACAATTGCATCTAACATTGTTATAAATAAAGAGAAACCAGATCAGTCATCAAGGGCTCCCGAGTGAACAGCATCTTCGTAACCTCCATGCTTATCATCTTTGCTTTCCCGGTGTAGTTTAATGAGATCATCAATTCGAAGAATGGTAATTGCAGCTTCTGTTGTGAATTTCAAGCTCTTAACTTTAACTACTGTTGGTTCAAGAACCCCTGCTTGCTTGTTATCTCGAGGTTTACCATTGATCAAGTCAAGGCCAATCCATTTTAGATTTTTATGTTCTGGGTTAACTTGAGCTTCATTATGAAAAGCTCTCAACTTTGCAGCCAGGTCTGTGGAATCTTGAGCAGCATTAACTGCTAGTGTGTTAGGAATCACAAGAAGAGCTCTTGCAAACTCTGCAATAGCAAGCTGTTCCCGAGACCCCTGCTGGTGGCGTAGTTCTCCAGGTAGATGGACAGGGCCGCCTCTACGGCGCCCCCACCTGGAACCACAGACTTTGACTTCTTTGATTAAGAAGGCTGGGAAAAGTTATGAAAACAGAATAGATGAAATGGAAGAACGAATCAGCACCTTCAAAGAAACAGAAACAAAGAAAATTAAAAAAGAAAAAGACAAGTAAAAAGGAAAAGGAATGAAGAAACACATCAAGAGCTATCTGACACCATTAGGAAAGGAAACATCGGAGTTATAGGTATCCCAGAAGGTGAAAAGAAAGGACAAGGAATAGAGAAAGTATTCACAGAGATAATAGAAGAGAACTTCCCTAATTTGAAGTAGATGAAAGTAGACATCCAAGATGCAAGAAGATCCCCAAACTACCATAAGAGGAGAAAACAGCAAGACATATTATAGTAAAAATTCAAGATTGCAAGACAAAGAAAAGATAATGAGAATAACAAGAATGACAAATAAACTACAAAGGGAAACCGATCTGGATGACATCAGACTTCTCTGAAGAAACATTACGGGCAAGAAGAGAGTGGAGGGACATTCTCAACAAACAACAAAGCATTAAATGCCAACCAAGAATACACTATCCTGCGTAGCTCTCCTTCCTCTACAAAGAAAGGACATTCCCAGACAAACAGAAACTCCACGATTTCGTCATAACTAAGCACCCACTCCAAAAACTACTACAAGAAGCCCCAAACAAAATCCAATAGAAGAATAAACAAGAACAGTTCAAAAGAAGGAATAAAGATACAGAAGGACCATAAAGGCAAATGTAGGTGCCAGTATATCAATATTATCTCTAAATGTAAATGGCTTAAACTCAT